CCACCCAAACACACACACCAGTACCATACACACACTCACACACACACAAACACCACACACACAACATCAGTACCATACACACACACACACATACACTCACACACTCTCACACACATCAGTACCATACACACACACACACACACACACATCAGTCCCATACACACTCACACACACACACACATACACTCACACACCCTCACACACATCAGTCCCACACACACACACACACACACACTCTCACACACACACACACTCTCACACACACACACACTCTCACACACACACACACTCTCACACACACACACACTCTCACACACACACACACTCTCACACACACACACACTCTCACACACACACACACTCTCACACACACACACACTCTCACACACACACACACTCTCACACACACACACACTCTCACACACACACACACTCTCACACACACACACACTCTCACACACACACACACTCTCACACACACACACACTCTCACACACACACACACTCTCACACACACACACACTCTCACACACACACACACTCTCACACACACACACACTCTCACACACACACACACTCTCACACACACACACACTCTCACACACACACACACTCTCACACACACACACACTCTCACACACACACACACTCTCACACACACACACACTCTCACACACACACACACACACACACAAACACACACACACACATCAGTACCATACACACACACACACTCACACAAACAACACACATCAGTACCATACACACTCACACACACACACACACAAACACACTCAACACATATCAGTACCATACACACTCACACACACACACACACACACACATCAGTACCATACACACTCACACACACACACACACACACATCAGTACCATACACACTCACACACACACACACACTCAACACACATCAGTACCATACACACTCACACACACACACACACTCAACACACATCAGTACCATACACACTCACACACACACACACACTCAACACACATCAGTACCATACACACTCACACACACACACACACTCAACACACATCAGTACCATACACACTCACACACACACACACACTCAACACACATCAGTACCATACACACTCACACACACACACACACTCAACACACATCAGTACCATACACACTCACACACACACACACACACACACACACTCAACACACATCAGTACCATACACAAACACACACACACACACTCACACTCAACACACATCAGTACCATACACAC